TCCTTGTCAGATCTCTGATAGTATTAATTATTAAACTATAGTCAGCTTAATAGCTCATTTAATAAAGTTCTGATAAGCTGATAAAACCAAGTGCCTGCTGTTCAGTCACAAGCTCAAGGTTTTTAGATTTACTTTAGTTGTCATCTAAATATAAACTTAAAGGGGTTTTCATCAGGCCAAAGGCACCTCTGTCCAATCTATATCTGACTCTGGACAGAAAAAAAAATGTACAAGCTTTTAACACAAATCTGTAGGTTTTGTTAGAACTCAAAGCTATAAATCTATTTCTGCCACTCTACAGATACCCAATATCTGCCTTTTCTACAATAAAGACTTCAATACAGATTAATAATAATAAAATGTCTAAAACTCTATGTCCTATTATATAATAAAGTTCATATAGGCTTCAAAGGATCAAAAGTCATAAAGCTTGGATCCACTTCTCCCAGATCCAAAAGGACTCCAGATAAGTACAACTTTTGTTAACCCATCTATTTGTTCCTGAGGCTGGGATTTTTTCCCTTGTCTTGGAACTCCTGTCCTTTTTAATCACTAAAAATATGGGCCTAAGAGTTCCAATAAGATATATAAGTTTTAACTTCTGTTCCCCTTACTCCCCGCTACCTCCACCTCCCCACCCCTGGGGCATATTCAGTGTCCATGAGTGACATTAGGCACGAGATGATAAAGGGGGTTCTCATTTCAGTGTCATCAAAGGAGCGGGTTCAGGACTTTGACTTAGACCACTTCATTGCTTTGGAGCTGTCTTCATCTCAAATATGTATTGTGGTCTGTTAGTAGGTTGTTTGTGTGTTCTGTTGCAGGCCTGCCTTGTTGCCAGACTGGCCTTCCACGGAGTGCAAAATCCTTCTGTCAGCACCTTAGTTCTGGGGTTACCAGCATGGACCCCCATCAGATCAAGTTTATACATATGGGTTTCATTGTTGTTGTCTTTCCTGAGACAGGGTTTCTCTGTGTAGCTTGGCTGTCCTGGAACTAGCTCTGTAGATCCAACTGGCCTTGAACTCACAGAGAACATCATGCCTGTGGCTCTATGGTACTCAGATTAAAGGTGTGTACCACCACCACCCAATTTGAGATATCTTTGCTATCCTCTTGTTTACATCTGACAAATCTTATTCTGAGTCAAGGTCTCCTGTAGGGCAGGATAGTTGAGAAGTCACCAGGTAGCCTGCAAGTCCCAACCTTTTCCCCAAACATTCTGCTTGAGGTTGCATGGCATTATCACTTCTAGAATTTTGGGTTGTGTACACACTGCCTTTGAAACACTGACTGCAGCCAGGGCAGTGCAAGCTGACAGTTGATCTCCTCAGACTCATAAATGCTGCCTATGACACAGTTTACAGGGTTTAGGGTACCTCACTTCCCAGTGGGAATGGGATGGAGATGAGCAGAGGCTGGAATTATATGAGACTGAGGGAATATGTGGTCATATGTGTACTTGTGAGTTTCCCCATGCTGCCTGCCAGGACATTCATGCCCTGATTTGTTTTTCTTGTTGTTGTTATGGTTTGATACCAATAGACATTGTCATAGGTGTGACTATGCCATTGAGTGATTCTTTGATGGGAGAGAATAAGGGCTTCCTAAATCGTGGCCTGAAAATGTGTTCCTTTGGGCTGGGCAGTGGTGGTACACACCTTGAATCCCAGCAGAGGGAGGTATGTCTCTGAATTCAAGGTCAGCCTGGTCTACAGAACTAGTTCCAGGACAGCTAGGGCTGTTACACAGAGAAACCTTGTCTCAGAGTCAAAAAAACTGTTCTTTTTCAGAAGCCTCCCCAGGATTCTGGACCCTAAGGATCATCAAGAATGAGTGATCCTGTCCAGCCCACACTCCTGCAGCAGGCAGTGCAGAGGTTGCTGAAGGATGAGGCCTTGGCCAGCTCTGCTAGAGACAACCTGCCCATGGAGCTCTTCCCACCACTGTTCAAAGAGGACTTCACTGGCAGACAGACTAACATGGTGAGGGCAATGGTGGCAGCCTGGCCATTTCACTGTCTCCCCATAGGGACTCTGATGAATACCTCACACAGGGAGACTGTGAGGGCTATGCTCCAGGCACTGGATTCTCTGGTTACACACAAGGTTCACCCCAGGTAGGTAAGACCCTTGTCCTGTCATTCAGCGGACAACTAGAGTTAGGGAAGAGTGGTCACAAATGGATCTGAGGCTTCTCACTGTGCCAGTTTGGACGACTACACAGGTCTCAGACCTTACAGAAGGTACAAGAGTGTCAGGTGTGGAGGGCAGCTTAGCTCTGATACCTGAAAGACCTCCAGACCCAAGGGCCTCAGGATCCCGAGGATCCAAGACTAAGAAACCAGACCAAAAGCTGCAAAAGCAAGAGGGTTTATTGAATGAATGTGAATTCGGGTGTCAGCAATATCAAGAAAGCTGCACACCCCAGCATGGGGTGCAAGCTCCTTATATAGGTAAAAACCGCAGACCAGCATACAGACAAGGGGCACAAAGTGATTGATTACAAAGTATGATCTCTGGTCACCCAGGTGTGACCTGCTTTTCTTCAAAGGAAAAGCCACAGAATGTACCCTGAAAAGTCCTCGATTGTCTGTTGGCCAGCTGTGACCCAAAAAGGATTGTCTGTCTGCCCTCGAGTTGGGGCCAGTTTCCTTGTCTTGGGCCAAGGCCTGGAGGAAACTTTCTCTCAGCAAACTAAAATCTTTCATCTCCAACTAGAGAGATCTGCCTGACCTGCCTCCCCAGTGCTGGGAGCAAAGGCAAGAAACATAACTGCCAGCCAATGTCTTTGCTTGTTTGTTTTGTTTTACAAAGACAGGATTTCTCTGTATAACAGCGCTGGCTGTCCTTAAACTTGCTATGTAGTCCAGGCTGGCCTCCAAGCCAGAGATCCACATAGCTCTGCCTATCAAGGCCTGGGAGTAAAGCCATCTGCCACCACACCCTGTCAACTTCAAGAGCTAGGCCATCTTGAGCACACTCACCTGGCCTATAAGATATTATAGGTGAAATATGAAACTGCAAACATAAATCAAATGCAAGTTTGGATGCAAGGTCTACATAGTGAGTTCCAGGGGGTCAAGCCTGGTGGCTATTAAAATCTTGCCCCAGTAAAGCCAAAGGAAACAAAAAGGGAAGTAAGGGGATTGCAGTTTTAATCCCAGTACTCCAGAGGCAGAGGCAAAAGAGTCTCTGTGAGTTCAAGGCTCTCTAGTCTCAGGGGCAGCTGGCCTGGTCTCCATAGATTCCCAGAAAACCAGAGCTACAGGATAGTCTCAAAAGTCTGTCTCAAAAGATGGCTGTTCTTTGTCCTCCATTTTTCCTTCCCTTTTTTTGTTCCTTCTTTATTTCTAATTTTTGCTGTTTCTTGTTTTGTTTTTTGAGACTCCATTTCTCTATGTTGTACTGGCTTTCCTGCAGCTCACTCTGTAGACAAGGTTGGCCTCAGAGATCCAGTCTTGCTGCCTCTGCCTCTGGAGTGCTGGGATTAAAGGCATGTGCCACCACTTGCTTTTGTTTTAAGACAGTGTCTAAGCATCCCTGGCTGTCCTAAACCTCACTAGGTAAACCATGGTGGCCTTGAACTCAGAGATGTCATACTTCTTCCCCCAAGTTCTCAGCTTAAAGCTTTGCACCACCACAACCAGAAAAGTAGGCTGTTTTCATTTAGATTAACTCTCTCTAGAGAGGCTGAGACAGGAGAATTGCATATTTGACTAAGTCTATATACTGGTCTGAAGAGTAATGGACAATCTGGGCTAGACAGTAAGATTCTACCTACAATCAAAACAAACCCCCAGAAAGCCTAGTATAGCTGGTGCTGTCCCCCTTTGATTCCAGGATTTTAGATGCAGAAGTAGGAGGATTTCTGTGAGTTTGAGGACAGCTAGGTCCAGGCCAGCCAGGGCTACTTAGTGTCACTGTGTCTCAAAGACAGGAACAAAGAAAAAGAGAAAAACCAGCTTTTTGTCATGAAGAAGCCATGTGGGACTTCAAGTAAATGTCCCCACCAGTTGTTCCTGTCATGGTGGACTTATAACTGGAGTTATTCTGCATGTTGTTTACACATTCTACCTATTGTGCTTCAGCCACAGACCCTGGTCCTGAAGTATTTTGAGATCATGAGTTCTTGGCACCCATCTTCACTGATCAGCAAGCACAATATCTTCTCATTCTCCACAGACACAAGATTGCAACACTTTAAACTGGTGGCCAGGTTAATGTCCAAGACAGACCTCACAGAGTGAGAATCCAGCTTCTCAAGAAGACACAATTGTGACCAGGAAAGTCTTTCATGAACCTGTAGTGCTAGAAGCCTTTTAGAATATAAGAAATTATTTGAATCTTAAGGATCCAGTATCCATGTGTTACAAATCTGTCTTGAACCACGAGGGAAAGTGAAAATACTTCTGGGTTTCAAAGTCTTTAACAAGTCACCATATAAGAAGGGGATTATAGAAGAGGGCTCACTGATTGATCTGGGCTCTAGGACAAGGAGGGGAGCCTTGTTTCTCCTGGTAGTTCCCAACAGCAGCAGAAATGGCATTCATAAACACACAACCCACAACCATTTGCTGCCAAGGCACAGATACATGTTTTACCAATCAGAACTCAGGGATTATGGGTTTCCCTAGGTATTCCATCATTGTCACCTGCTGGTTTTCCATGGGCTTTGGGGCTGTAACTGATTCTACTGCTAATTTAAAAACCAGAGGCTCTCTTTCTGTTTACCATTAAAGATTCAAGATTCAGCTCGTGGTGACCCTGTTTTGACAAAGGCACAGCTAGAAATGCAAAATTGCCTTTCTGATTCCATAAGACAACTATACTGTGCTCCATTTATACTTCACATCAAGTTAGTCCCTATGGTGTGCATCCCCTGAACACTCTTGTTCCCAATGCATCACAGTGTCTGAGGGCCTGCGTTCTGGGGCCCCATGATGAAAGTTCAACCCCAGGACCTTCAATTCTCAGTATCCATACGCAATACTTTCCTATTTATTGCCAACACTGGCAAAGTCTTGTCTCCATGTTATAAACACAACGCCTACGGCATTTAGGGCAGATTCTTGTAGCAAAGGCTATTTTCTTAGGCTGCCTTTTGGCAAAGAATATGTCCTGGAGCTCAAGACAGACTTGGGCAAATTCCTCCACTAGGACATAACCCAGGGGATCATAGCACTCTAGTGGGGCAGGGTAGAACTCTCCAGTCAAGTTGCTTAGACATGCCATGCCTTGCACAAGCTTCTTCAGTGCAGCAATGGAGAAGTTGTTATCATAGAAATTCACAGTGATGAGCTGTGAACACTGGCTCAGAGCAGGCAAGAGAACCCTGAGCTCAGAGTCCCTCATCCTGCAGTTCACTAACTCCAGGGTCTGCAAAGTATGTGCTGTATTCTCAAGGAGAACTCGGAGATGTATGTCTCCGGACAGGGAGAACATTGAATTACTAAGACTCAGGTGTCTCAGTTGACAGAGCCCCTGACACTGTGACAAGAGGTTCAAATTTACCGGGCCGAGACTGTCAGTGATGGACAAGGATTCCAAGGGGGTCTTCAAGCTACTACGGAAAGAAAAGGAAATTACTTCATGCTGTCAAAGCTAGTAACAAATTTGACGCTAATACAGAAGAGACCACTTATGCAAAGTCAGTCTACCCTATGTTAGTACTTGGGATAGATACAACCTGTTGGTGCCTGCTCGTGTAATTGTCTCCTGAGGCATGTACATAATCTTGTGATGGTCTCAGACTACATCTCCAGCCCCCATCCTCATTCTGTCTAACAGACCTAGAGTGTGCCTCAGCAGGCCAGGAGCTCATACCCAGAAAGACCATCACAAAAAAGTTCTGGCAGCATCTTGGCATGTGTCCTGCATATTTCATCACTGTCCCTCCTACCAATCACAGCCTCTATCCCTGGTTTCAGTTCAACCTTGAAACTGATAGTCCCTCACCCCAGAATCAACCATTTGCCATCTACTATATCCCAACCTGTGCTCGTATTATCCTTCTCTCCAGGGGGACTTATAGGCTGATAAAGGCTCAACCAGAAGAACAAGCTGGCCACTCACTATTCACAGATCTGAGTACAGAGTTCCTTAGGTTCCTGTACAGGTGTGGGTACTCACCACCTCAGGGTGGGCTATTCTGTCCTGTGTCCTTTCCATTAACATAGCCTGATCTCAAGGATTGTGCAGAGCATACTCAGTGTCTGATCCCCCAGAACCCCCAATGGACCTGCTTTCAAGGCAGTTCTCTAAACATCTCCTATCCCAGCTGTGACTACTAAATGAATGGTCATTGAACCAAGTGACGTCAGTTATGAAGGATACAAGTCATACTGTGATGAGGCCATCACTGTTAAATCCAGTGACTGATAAATCCCTGGGCCCACTAATGCTTGAAGTAAAGGGAAAAGGTTTGTTGTCTCAGGACAAGAGCTCTCCATCATTCCTTACCTGAACAACAGCTGCATTACGTCAGAGAAAAAGTAGAACGTATCCATGGAAAAATGCTCAACTGAGGTGAGTTTGAATAACTGAGAGAGAAACTGGATAGCACACACGTCCTCTGTGACTGACCAGGCATTTACATCGCAGTATCCATGTACGAAGATGTGACTCAGATGACATTTACGAAGTTTTGTCATATGGCCAAGGTGAGATGCAATGTGATGTAGCAAGGGTAGAACACTGTTTGTGGTTAGATGCAACTCCTCAGGTGGGAAAATGTCCAAGAACTCCTTGATAATCTCCGCAGGGAAGTCACAAATCTCCATCTTTACGCAGGACAGCTGCACAGAGTCTTTCCTCTGCTGGGCCCACTGCAACAGGCATGTTTGGTGTTCTTTCAGGTGGCACCTGAGGCTGAGGTCAGTGACCACCTTCACATCCGGCCTCATTTCATTGTCTTTCTTCTCACTTTCATGCTCTGTTGAGCAGTAGTACCAGCTCTTTCTACTAGCCCATACATTCAGGAAATCCTGATTCACATTCCTCAAGTCAAGTACTCGAAGCTTCCACCTACTGTAGAGAAAAAGGTTGCAATTTCATGATGTAAACCAGGAAACTACTCAGACACAGCCTGTGTCCTGCTTCTCTATTGTCAGCTCCAACATAGGCCCTCTCACCTGCCTAGCAAGGGCAATCTTTGCCTGAACTTCATCTGGAAAACTTTCTTGCTACCCTCCATTCAATTACTCTACATTGTTGTGAGCCATACAGCTTGGCATGAACCTTTAGGCCAAACTTGGCAAGCCACATAGCTATAGAACTGTCTTTTGATTCTAAATGGCTTCTAGAAGCATGAGCACTCAGAAGGAACAACATGACCCAGCCAGATGTCAATTCTTTGTTCAAACCACAAGCCCACTTACCTAAACAACCCTCCTGTGTCCCACCACTCACCTAGGTAACCCTCCCTCTATCCCCACCACCCATGAAATTTTTACCCTGCCAATATCCTTCTATAATTTTACTGACATCCTGCTTAAACTAACACCTGGCTCTTGGCCTTTTCTCCCCCTCTCCTTTACCCCATATTACTGACTAAACTAACCTGGAAAAAAATAAAATTTGCCACTTGATCAGAACCCTGTCTTGCGGTCATTGTCTCATATCTCTTATCCCCATTCCTCTCACTGGACTTCTTGCTCTAGGTTGCTGTCCTGCGGTGAGGACAACTACATTACACCAGTGTCTCTTCCACACCAAGTGTCTGTAGGAGAGCCAGGGAAAGCTCATTCCACTGTGGCTCTCCTTCACCCCTGACTGTCATTATATGAGCTCTCAACATAAATAGAAGTTCTACAGACCTCTGAGTGGAGGATACCAGAAGTTTCTGTCCACTTTGACCCCATTCTCCCTGACCTCACATGTATCTTACCTATAGCCCAGCAACTCCCCTTCTAGTCTACCTGGGCCTTGCTTACCTGGGGCGAACCTTCTGTGCCTGCAGAATATCTACACCACCCAGAACAGCTTGCAACAACTCCACATTGGGTGTCTCCATCAGAGCCCCCACGGGGAGGTAGGAAAAGGGCCAGGCTGCCACCATTGCCTTCAGTAGCTGCATGTGTCTACCAGTGAAGGCCTCCTTGAACACTGGTGGGAAGAGATGAGGGGGCAGGTACTCCAGAGTAGAGATGGTTGAGGCCTCATTCCACAGCAAGTTTTGCATTGCCAGATGTTGGAGAGAAGGTGGGTTGTAGATGCTCATCCTGATAGATCTTCAGTCAGAAGGAACCTGGTGAAGCATTTAGGAGATATTATTTTCAACTTATGTTTTGGGAATTTGCACTTCTCACACATTGCAGGAACCAGAGGGTCAGAGTCCTTGTACTGGCAATAATAGAGACCTCAGTGTCTTATTATATACGATCTGGTGGTATCAAAGCAAAACTACCCTCACTCTCAGCATGTGGACTCTCACTAAAGCCCCCACACAGGCACTAATTAATCATTATCCCACCAGGTACCTACCCCTGCTCTTCTATTTGGAAGTATTCAGGAGCATACAGACTGACCAGACCCTACAAGAAAAGACACTGACCATCTTTCCAAGTAATCATAAAATACAGTGTTCATGTCACACACCCAATCCACCAAGTTGTGCCTTAACCAAACTGATCCCTCTTAGGAATGAGTGAGAACTAGTGAAATGCCTATTAGTACATGCTCCTTCTAAAATGAGAATCATAGATGAGAAGCCAAGTGAAGAGAGACTTTTTAAGGACAAAGATTTTCCTATGATGCATTGGGATCTACAGGAATAAATTAGATGAGAAAAGAAAATTTACAAACATTTGAGAGGTGGTTTACACTTTAAAAGGTTATTAAATTACAAGATACTAACTCGAATTCCATAACCAGGCTAGAAACCTCAATAAAGTCAAGTGATCTAGACTTCAAGACCAGTCTTGCCACAGGGCGTTGGTAGTAAACCTTTAATCCCAGCACTTGGGCAGCAGAGGCAGTTGTATCTCTTTGAGTTCAAAACCAGCTTGGTCTACAAGAACTAGTTCTAGGATAGCCTCTAAAGCCACAGAAGAACCTTGTCTTGAAAAACAAAAGAAGAGAAAACAAAAGAACAGCCTGGCCTAATTTACCCCTGTCTCCAAAAGCTCAAATGAGCCAAAGAACATTAAATATAAATACCTATGAATGGTCATTTCTCTTTAAAACTAAACTATGCAGGGGGTTGGTAGTGGTGCATGCCTTTAATCCCCGCACTGGGGAGGCAAGGCAGGCAGATCTCCAGAGCGAGTGCAAGGATAGCCTCCAAAGCCACAGAGAAACTGTCTCGAAAAACCAAATTAATAAATAAATAAATAAATCTAAAATACATCAGACATAAAAACAATAAATTGTGTTCATCACTTTGAATTTCAAAGCAACCATCTGGAAATATAGCTTAGTTGGTGATAAGGCTAGAGGCACTAAGCCTTTCAATGTAGGGGAGCCAGTTACCTGATGTGGACAGGGGTTATAGAGTTATTGCCAGCAGGGTAAAGCAGAGACGCCAGGGTCCAGGAATCCTCAGCAGAGTCAATTTGTGACTTCAGGTCCACGACTCTGAGATTCTACCAGGCCTCTTCTTACCTTTTTATACACGTTGCAACTCACTCCTCCCCATAAAGCCCCACCCCTCTACAAAAAAAAAATCTCACATCTGAGAGGTCAAATATGTCTCTACCCACTTAATCCTGTTAAGGATTTTTTTCTACAGTAGATTGGTTGAATCTGACCTATGAAAACAAACAAACAGCGGGCGGTGGTGGCACACACCTTTAATCCCAGTACTCGGGAGGCAGAGGCAGGTGGATCTCTGTGAGTTTGAGACCAGCCTGGTCTAAAAGAGCTAGTCCCAGGACAGCTTCCAAAAGCCACAGAGAAACCCTGTCTTGAAAAAACCAAAAAAAAAAAAAAAAAAGAAAAAAAAGATGTGAATCAAAATTCTTTATAGCTATAGGATTATGCAGACACAGAAAACACAATTGCTAGATTAAGGACTCATTAACAGTCAGGCATGGTGGTATAACCCTTTCATCTCAGCACTTCAGGTACAGAGGCAGGTAGATCTCTGAGTCCAAAGTCAAACTCATCATCTTTCCCTCCTTGGGGGCCTTTTTTGTGCTTTGGGCAGGCAGAGGTTGGGAGCCATGAAGGATACAGCCCCATAGTCACATGGCCTATCATCTAGACTTGGTGATGTTGGTCCTCATCTCAGCACTCCAGATAATAGGGTATGTTGGATTGGGGGGGGAGGTCTCTATCTTTCTGGTAACATCTTTGTTGTTGGCACAGGGTTTCACTGTGTAGACCTAGAGCTGACTATGTAGACTCCACTCACCTGAATCTCACCATCAGGTCCTAGAAATTTACAGCAGCCTATCTGATATCACCTCACTGCTCAGCCCATTACTCTTGTTCAGATAATGTGCTTTACAAAGGTTGTATGGTTGACAGGCTTGGTTTGTTTTTGTTTTTGTTTTTTTTTTCTTTTTGGTTTTTTGAGACAGGGTTTCTCTGTGGTTTTGGAGACTGTCCTGGAACTAGCTCTTGTAGACCAGGCTGGTCTCGAACTCACAGAGATCCACCTGCCTCTGCCTCCCGAGTGCTGGGATTAAAGGCGTGCACCACCAACGCCCGGCTGGTTGACAGGCTTGTTGGCAGCAGCCTAAAATTCCAGCACTTTGGAGGCAGATGCAGGAGGATTCCATGCAGCCTAGCCTACATTTTGAATTTCAAGTCAGTTTAGTTTGGAATGTTTCATAAACAAAAAGAAAAAAGAATGGTACAGAATAAGACCCTTTGTTCTGTTGAGGTGAGGTTATTTGATAGTGGGATTTGATCCAGATTGGGCCTTTGTTGGAGAAATACACTACTTCTGAGCAGCATTTAATTCAATTCTTGCATTTCCTCTAATTTTATAGAAAGACAAGGTCACCTTGTCCCAGACTGTCCTAGGGCTGCAGATTGTTTTCCCTCTTGCCCTAGGGCTAACGTTCTTTGAGTGTGCCCCAGCCCAGCTGGATTCCTTGCATGTCAATATGAGACATGGTCTTTCCAAACCACAGGCTGATTTGACTGCATTCCTATAGCCTAAACCCTCAAATCACTGTGCCTTAGGGCCTCTGTTATCAAAAACAGTTAAGGGTAGAGTCAAGAAGGATAGGAGCAGCATTTGACCACCTGAAGGAAGGGATGGAGAGCAGGAGCTAAGCAGAAAGCACATAGCAGCCAAAGCTTTGACCCCAGGCCTTGGGAGGCAGAAGCAGGTTGATCCCTATGAGACTGAGGCTAGTCAGCATTAAAAGGCAACTTTAGAGCATATGGGGCTACATAGTGAAACTTTGTCTCAAGAATTAAACATTTGTTTTTCTTTTTAACAAGGTCAGCCAATGGCAGTTGGCAATAGCAGTTGTCATTAAACCTGATCACCTAAGTCCAGTGACAGGAATCCACCTGATTGAAGGAGAGAATGACTCCCCTGGCTTGCCCTCTTACCTCAACATGTATCCTCCATGACCACCCACCAAACATAAAAAAACACATATGTAAATGCAGAAATGAGCTTGGGAGCTGAGCAGGTCTGTGGCACAAGATTATGGTCTCAGCATCCATTATCTGAAGACCGATTGTCACAAGATTAGTCTAGAATGAAACTTGATCCTAACCAGATAATACAATGGGAACTGGAGGTCAACATCACAGTGTCTTGCATTAGACCTGAGGAGTTGAGTGGTCCAAGTCTGGTCTTGATGGTGGTATTCTAGGGCTTGAAGAGAGCAAGCAACATGGAGAAGGACAATGCCACTTGGTAGGGACCAACTGCAGCCTTTCTCCTTAAAGGTCTTGGGTGGTTTGAGTGAGAAAAGTCTCCATAGTCTATAGCACTTGAACACTTGTTCCCCATGGTGGGTGCTATTCAGGGTAGTTTAGGAGGTGCGACCTTGCTGGAGGATGAGATAAGACAGCCTCAAGCAGCTTCCAGTTCTCCATGTCTGCTCTATGATCATGAGCTGTCAGTTTCCTGTTCCTGGTGCATGCTGCTTGCTTTCTTGCCTACCACCACCACCCTTTATCCCCTTGGAACCATGAGCCAAAATAGCCTCCTTCTTACATTAGTTGCCTTTGTCATGGAATTTTATCTCAAAAACAGAAAAGTAACTATTCAAGTCATTTCCCTGAAACCTTGGCACATATTCAACAAGGTCTGAAATTTGGCCTATAGGAGAACATTTAAGACTAACAGAAATGTTGAAGTCAAACAACTATCCCACCCATTTATGACTTGAGCAGGATGATTTAAATTTCTATCTGCCTGTGCTGCAAAACAACTGACAAAAACCTGTCTCAAAATAAAAACTTAATGCAAAGTGGCTGGGAACAGGACTTGAAAGCAAAAGGCTGGTGTGGCATACACACCTGCCTCTAGGTCAAACTAAACGACAAAATAAAAACAAAAATCACTATCTACACAACACCAATTCCAGACATATAGAACTGTGATCACTGTGAGCTTGGCATGGTAGTACATGCCTATAATCCCAGTTCTTGGGAGACAGAGGCAGGCTGAGTTCAAGGTCACCCTGGTTGACAAAGTTCCTGGACAACCAAGGTCATACAGAGAATCCCTCTCAGGAGACTCACAACAAAACATACAAACAAACAAACACAATTGTGATAATTATGTAATGGGAATCAAACCCGGAACCTCTCACTTGACAAGCCAGGAACCTCCACCCTGTTTAGATTTCCATCCTTTTCCCCTCCCCACAGTCTAGGGAAGACATTCATGGCCCACCACAAGGAGAGGAAGGATTCAAGGCTGACCTATCTTTCCAGCTTCTGCTTAGATTTTTAATTTTTTTTTTTTTTGAGACTGAGTTTCTCTGTGTAAGAGCCCTGGCTGTCCTGGAACTCACTGGACATGGTCTTATTAAGCTTTCCAGTCTGTCCTTTAACCTTAAGATGGTACAATCAGGGCTAGAGAACTGGCTCAGTAATCTGACAACTTGAGCTCAAAACCAGAAATATGGATAAGTAAAGTTGGAAGGGGAGATTTGACTAGATGATGTTGTCAATGTAGAGCATGTGAGCAACCAAGTTACATATCACATACACACACAAACATACACAAACACACACACACAAACACACACACACACACACACACACACAGAGAGAGAGAGAGAGAGAGAGAGAGAGAGAGAG